GGAATATTCTAATCAGGATATATGTATAAGATTATGTTTTTTAAAAGCTAATAATTACAAAGTTAAATATTAAGAAGAAAGGCAAATTTTATTAAACCGCTTTTTGGAAAACTGAAAATATACTTATAAAAATTCTTCATTTGAGTGATTAATGTGCTTGAGAATTTTGATTTAAAGAGTTTCTGTTAAAAATAGATTTCTGATGACTATTTGGATTTTACGATCTGAGGATGGTATGCCTCTGTGACCCGATCAGTAGTTATTTTTGCCATTGAGAAATAACAAAATTATTTTCTGAAAGGTGAAATGATAAACTATAAGATTACCGAACTTTTTTTGCATGCTTAAGCTCCCTCTCTTTTTTGTTAAGAGAGAGAAATTGAACATTTGATATCAGCATACTTTTTATTTCATAATCTATTTGCAGAATGGACAAAATACCCACTATTAACATGTAGGTTGAGTTTATTTCCACTTGATAGGGTTAGTAGTTTTGTAGATGAGTGATTCCCAGTCTTTTCCCATTCATGATACACATGGAGTAAAACAACTTTTATGGCACAATGAGGTATGAGAATTTCATGACTACAGGCCAAGACTATAAGATCTTCAGGCACTCCGGTCAATTTTGGGTGCCCCAACAGCTGAGAAGATCAACGCATTGTCATTCATGTAAGTTCTCTATCACATGAGTATCAGTAAGATCTTACCTTAGATTATACCACACACTTGGAAAAACTAGATTTATTTTGATGGGCAGTTCCTCCATTTATTCAGTTCAAATCCAGACTGTATAAGCTGAATAATTACAGAGCAAATTTTCTTGCCAAATAATTTGACAAAGATTTTAACAGACAGCCTGCCCTGGAAAGTTGAAACATGGTATGATTTTCCAACTTCTCTCAAGGGTATCTTAATTCTATTTTGAGGAGCTGCTTAGTAAAACACTTTTAATGACTTGAATGTTTGACCAGATGCACAATAGAGCCCACAAACAATCAAAATTTTATGCTTTATTTTGTCTAACACAAGTGTTAAAAGGAAAATTTGGCTTCAGTGGTTCCCTAGGAAAAATTACTCTTGGATTATTTTTATTAGACATTGACTTCAAAAAATGAGCTCAAAAAGCAGAGCAGAGACAGCATACTGTAAGCAAATTTTTGGAAAACAGGCAGCATCTCTAGGGGTAGCCTACTATTAATTTGAGGGGAAAATATCTCTATATTCATATTTCAGGGAAGAAATGACTGCTAGAGGTAACATGGTAGCTTAGTACATATTAATGCTAATGACTCACACAGTTCTCTGAAAGAGGGTTGTTAAGTATTGATTGTGCAAGCAAATCCAAGCAAGGAGAAATGTTAGCTAAAATAATCAAATGTCACAAATCTGGACAGGTACTTCCTGAACCCTAGAGTTTTACTTGGCTTTTAGTAAACCTTGGCAGATAGTTATAAGAAGACACAAGAGGGACCAAAATGAAACAGAAAGCTTTGAGTTTTATGTTGTCCTTAATTTTGACCTAATCAATAATTCTAATAATAAATGATACCAACATAAACTACTTCAGATTGGAACTGGATATGCTGTGTACTTGAAAAAAAGAGCTTTGAAGGCCTAGGCGTTCTGCTCTGCTAATGGAGTTCAATCACTAAATAAAGGCAGGCTATTTTATGTTCAGCAAGCCTTGTGTATAATAAAGAGAATATAAATTTTATTGTCCATGTTTAACAACAATATTGCTGATTGGTTCTATTATTTAAATTAAGAAGCAAAGCTAGCAAATAAACCTTGCCTCCAAGGAGTTTTGCAGGCATCAAGTGAATTCATAATTGATTTGGGTTTACGTTTGGAGCTCTTGCCCCTGGGATAAAAAAAGAAAATGTTCTTGTGACATAACTAAAGTTAAATTTACAGAAGTTAACCAATCCAGTGAGAACTGGAAGGCTAAATTTTTGTATAGGTACCAACTTCATATGTTCATTATGCTTTTTAAGTGCTATTATATGGTACAGTAGAAGAAAAATAGTGTTCATGTTAGAACTAGATTTGAGTCTCAACCTTGTCCTTTTTGATTTGGGCTTCAGTCAGGATAACTGGCTGAGTACAAAGTCTGTTTCCCTCTACTGACCTCAACAGCTTAAAATTATAGAAAAGATATTACAAATATCTATAAACGTGCTGAAGACAAAAGGTAAGAGGACTTCTTGACAAAAAGAAATAATAACTGAGATTGAATAAATGGACCAACCAGTTAAAAATTAAACTTCTTGACGGGCACATGTAATTTGGGGTCAGGGTATCACTATGTTAACTCCAAACTAGTGCTAATAAAACTAAAGGTTGAGAGAAAGTCAAAAGCAAATATTAAGAGGTGAAACATGGGCTAGCCCCATAATACAGTGGCTAAGTGCTGCACAGAAGAAGCTAGATTCCACATGGCTGTCTGGCCTTTGAGTCCTGGTCCCAGCAGTTTGAAAACCATGCTGGCTGCATGTGCACATGGACATGTCTAGGACCATGATGGACTGGATAATTGAAGAATGACCAGCATGTGTGAGCCCAGCTCATATTTGTGAGCCCTCTACCATGTCTTTGTTGTTGTTGTTGTTCTGTTTTGTTGTTGTTGTTTCATTTTTTTTTTTTTTAAGAAAGAAAAACAAGTGTCAAACATGAAACTGGCCAGAGTTCAATTCTCTTCGTCTTCTTCTTTTTTTTTGCCAAGCAGCAGACAGCAGAAATGTTGGGTCCATGCTATGCTAAGACAAAAAACCTAGGAGTTAGAATTTGACCTGCAGAATATTTTTAAAGCAATTTATAATCTTCAGGAAGCAAACAACAACCCATAGATAAGTTAGTTACATATCTTCCCTTGCACATATTTCATATCACTGTCACTATCAAAGAAAAAATGTCTTTCATTCATAATGTAAATCCCTGTGGATTCAAATAGGGACAGAAAAAATACAAAGATGAGAAGAAAACCAAGAATTATGAGGTTTTCAGGAAAAGGCATGGAAGATGGGCAACAAACTAAGCAATCCAACTACAACATGGAGAAATGAAGTAAAGAAAGCAAAGAGAAAGCTTTAAAATAAGTATGATTGATGTGTTTTGAAAGATTATATCCCACTCACAAAAGATTAGGAAACAGGTAACATAAAATATATCTTTGAAATATGAAAATTCAGAAGATGAATGAAATAATAGAGTTAACTGAAGAGAGAATAGATTAGAATAAAATAAGACAAGTGAACAAATTGTCCTAAATAAGAGAAAATAAAACTTGGTAAAAAAATGGTTAATATAATATTTCTAAAATATTTAAGAGTAGACCTACAAGTAAATAACATACAGAGTGTCATAAAGAGTGTGTGTGAAAGTGTGTGTCTGCGTATGTGTCTATATGTTTGGTGGTAGCATGGATGGGGAATAGGAAGAAAAAATGAAAACAGATAACAATATAGCAAAACTAACATAATCCTAAAAATTTGGATTGAAAAGATTCAAAGGGACTAATAAAACAAATTTAAAAGTAACATGCATAAACTTATCACTATGAGTATAAAGACGACAATACTCAGAAGATGACAAAAGGTTAAATAAAAAGGAATGAGATACACATTACTATTTCAGCAACATTATATGATGAAACACATTTGAATAATATTTTCATATTTAAATTTATTTATTTATTTATTTATTTAAATTTGACCAGAGAGGAACAGAGAGAGAGAGGGAAGTGAGAAAGCAAGCCGCCAGGTTCAGGACTTGAACTATGATTGGCCATGTGGGAGTCCAGTGCCCTTAAACACCATTCCACCTGCTCGTCCTATCAATATTTTGTCAGAAAATATGTTTTAAAGGTAGAACATACATACAATAATATTTCCTTTTATTTCTTTTTTTGGAAGATTTTGCTATAGGGCATGTGCACTTGCCAGAAAGACAGAGAGACAGAGACAGAAAGTGAGAAATCACCCCCCAGAAGGGATGGCCACGCCGCAGTCCCTTCTCCTCCATTCTCCTCTTAGGATCTTGGGCACGCATGTATATGTGCCTGGCATGAGTTTAAGCCACTGCGTCTAGGACTTGCCAACTACATGGGAGTCCAGCGACATAGTCATCATGCCAACTGCTGATCCCAATGATATTTATTAAGTAAAAACTGAGAATATTTATAACCTTTTGAAGGTCTCATGGAGCAATATGTTTCAGCAAAGTGAGAAAAAAGAACCAAATTACAGAAATTAATTGAGTTTAGCTATTCATAAAAGATAAGTTAAAATAGTCATGTTAATTGTGACTCATCACTAGAATAAAACTATATATTGACATAAGAAAACAAATATTTGTATGTTACATAGTTTACAACATTCCTCAACAAAAGATATATAGTTCCTTTTTTTTTTTTTTTTGGCTACAGGTTATGTGTGCTTGCCTGAGACAGACAGAAACAGACAGAGAGAGGCAAAGTGACAAATCTCCCCCCTGGGGGGATGACCATGTCATAATCTTTTCTCCTTCATTCTTCTCTTGGGATTTCAGGCATACATACACATGTGCTTGGTGCAGTTTTCAAGCCACCAGGTCTAGGACTCAAACTGCAGTCGGTCATGTGGGAATCCTCTTCCTTAACTGCCCCAACCCACAGGACAGTCGAACGGGTACCTGGGTGAGGTCAGTGAAAAAGGGGACTCACATAAAACTTACACACACACACACACACACACACACACACACACACAGATTGCAGAGCAAACTGTGCTTTATATACAGGCTGGTGGGCACCAATTGGTTGCTCGAAAATGAAATACAACAGTATGAGCCAATCATTGTTGTGGGTGGATCTCCCATTGCCTAGCAACAGTTGGTAACATAATTTCTGAGACATGGTTTGCTCAATAAGGAAGTGAAGCCTAAGGTTTCTAAGATGGCAGACAGTTCTCAAGAAGCTCCCAAGATGGCTTCCATATGCAATACTCTCCACATATCCCCCTTTTTTATTTTTTCAAAGAGAGGAGAAAAGCCTGGGGGAGTCGTGCCTGTCTTAGGTTGGAGTAATTTATCGAGCCACATGTCCATCCTTACCGGTCATTGGAGAATCCCATAGCTATGATGGGTTTCCTGTCTTAGGTGGGAGGACTATATAGCTATTACAGGCTCAGACTCTTAACTGTCTTTGGCTAACCGATTCAGCACCTCAGGCAGGAGCAATGTCTAGGCTCCGCAATACTCCATCTCCAGATTGTGATAGTGGATTTGGATAGGCTGCATTTTTATGGAGTCATCGATTTGGCATTTAAGGAAAGCCATGAGCTTATTAAAGAGAACAGGTCCCAAAGAGCAAACAATCAATAAACCTAGAATCGGACCAAGCAAAGGGAGGAAATATGGGAGGAGTCCATTCCAGGCAGTAAAGAAAGGATTATCGGTGAGTTGTTTTCTTCATTCCAGAAGACGTTTTTGCAGTTGATTGAGCTTGTCACGAATGATGCCAGACTTATTGGCATAAAAACAGCAACGTTCCTGCAAAGCAAGACAGAGACTCCCCTGTTCTGACAAGAGGAGGTCTAACCCACGTCTGTTTTGGAGAATAACTTCTGCAAGGGAGTCCAGTAGATCTTGAACAAAAGTAACAGAAGAAGCCAATTCTTGTACATCAGAAATAAGGGTATCAGTAACTTGTTTGAGCTGTAGGGAATATCCCAGTCCAGCAGAACCAGCAGCTGTAGCTGCAGCAAAGCCTAAAGTAGCAATAATAGGAAGGAACTGTATGGCATGCTTAGATCTTGTATGTTTGAATTTACCAGAAGTAAGATCAAAAGTAGGAATGGGAATTGTCTCCTTTAATAACATCAACGTCAGGGATAAGAATGGCAAGAGTACAAGAACCTGCTCAGCACTCAGGCAAAAAAGTGTAATACCACCGGGATATGTACAGGGAATATTATAATCAATTGTCTGTTGAGTTGGTCCAGGGTCAAAACCAGCAGCAATAGCATCGAAGATACAAAACAGGATCAAATTTTTAATAAGAATCTTCATTTTGTTGATCTATGGAAGAAAAGAGAGGTATCTCAGGGTTTTTGTCATCCCTGGATAAATTATTATCATTTGAATCAATTTGTTTGACCGATCTTTCTGGTAGCCAACGAGCAGCATCCATTTTTTTGGAATAAATGCAGACAGACCCTCTGCCCCAGATGAGGACAGGGTCTGG